TTATTTGTTCTCTGTGTAGATGGAATATCGTAGTTGGATGTATAATAGGAATTATCCTAATCGTTGGTTTTTTAGGGAGGAATTTATAGAAGGGGTTATTGAATTTATTAGGCATGCAATGTCACTTGAACCATTTCAAATCGGAGGGATGATTAGGTGTCCTTGTGTGAAGTGCAAGTGTTCGCATTATTTTGGATTGGGGAATGTTAAGTCTCATCTTTATAAAAAAGGGTTTATGAATAATTGTTTTGTGTGGACTAGTCATGAAGAGGTTAATGGTAGTGATGGTGTATTTCATAACATTGTTGTTGGTGAGAGTAGTAGGTCGGTGGGGAATAACATTCAACATCCTAGATACCATGAAATGGTTGCGGATGCTTTTGGGATGCACTTCGAGTTTGAACCCCGTGAAAGTGTTGAATAAGCTCCTAACGAAGAGGCAACACATTTTTATGAACAGTAAGAGGCCGATAGTCGTCCACTAAGTGAAAGGAGTATGTACTCTCAGTTGTCTATTGTAGTTATATTATTAAGTATCAAATCACATACCAATATTTCTCAAGCGGGAATGGATTCTTTCATTGGCCTTATAAGTGAACTAGTTGACCCAACTTTCAACATACCTGAATATTTCTATAAGGCTAAATGATTGGTTTCTAAGTTAGGACTCTCGTCTATGAGAATCGATTATTGTGAAGATGGTTGTATGTTGTATTATAAGGTTGATGCAGATTTAGAAAGTTATAAATTTTGTGAAAAACCTCATTTTAAGCGGGTTTCCAGCGGGAAGAAGGTTGTTGTGAAGTCGATGCATTATTTACCTCTTATTCCTAGATTAAAGAGGTTGTATGCATCGATGAGTTCCGCTCCTCATATGAGATGGCACTATGAAAATAGAAGGCCGCCTAGTGTTATGTGTCATCCTTCATATGGGGAAGCTTAGAAGCATTTTGATAGGACGTATCCAGATTATGCTGTTAGTAGGGTGGAAGTTGAGAATGTGCTAGATGTTGCTTACCAAAACGACACCTCAAGTGTTAACCAAATGGTGGATGATCAATTAGAAAATGACTTGGAGCATCCTCAATGCATATTAGAAGAAGTTGATATGGAGGAAATAACAATCATAGAAAATGAGGATGAAGAATCACCTAATAAAAATGAAATAAGTGAAGAGGAAGAATTGTCGGACGAGGAAGGATACTTCGAAGACGACTAGCATGTTAGTTTATTCAAGCTCTCTCAACTTATATAGATTTATATTCTCAATTCTAACATTTTCTTTAATTTATGCAGATGACCGGTAGGGGTCGAGGTAGGTCTAGGAAGGATAAGAGGCCTATTGATCATGATGATGGTGCTACACCATCGCTTCCTTCCACTCCACACTTGCATCCCTCCGCTGTTGATGGACGGCAGCAATCTTCTAGGCACATCTTTTCCACTACATCTATCCAATCATTAGACTACCTACCATTCGCCCTCCCAATAGTATTCTTACCATTCTCCACCACAGGGCTATACCCCGCTTCCTCCACATGATCCTGCATATAGTTATATCGGTCAAACAAGTCAGCAGTCACAGGGCCATATGGTTATATGCCTGTCATATGCTCCATTTGCTTAATCACCAGTTGGATCACATCCATCTAGATTTTAGCCAGCCGGATCTCAGCAAGGATCTGGATCGCAGCAGGGGTCTGGATTGCAGTAGGGGTGTGGATCGTATCCATCTTCATCAGCGACCCCGTCTCCCTCTCCACAGAGTTCATCTCCTAGTATTTCTAGACTTCGCCTTTGGGATAGTAGCACTGAGCTAGATGCCTCTCCTTCTGTGCATGCTTCAGATTCATTGACGGAAGATAATCCAGAGGAAGTGTGGTATGATCGTTATCATAGGATGATCATCAGGCCTGAGGGCAATGTGTAAGATTTATTTATAACTTCTTTGTTTTTGCTGAATATAATAGCTAGTCTTGTTTATTTAATGTAATTGCTATGTTGCAGGTTCATACCTAATCATCGAACTATAAAGATAATCACTGAAACTCTTGGCCGGTTGTATGATGCACCCTATGCGACTTGGAATGACTTTCCACCGGAGCTCGTGGAGCAAATTTTCAACCAATTTAAGGTTTCAATACAATTCTTATCTATTTAAGCATTATATTAATAATATTTTCATCTAACGTTATACACTTCATTTGCAGACTAATAGCATGTTTGTCCAAGCTTCTAAAATCAGCTTATTTTGAGAAGTGCTTTTCTCAAAAGTACTTTTCAAAAAAATACTTTTGGTGAGAAACAGTTTGTGTTTGGATAATTAATTTGAAAAGCACTTTTGAGTAGTAATTAGTTTTTGATCAAGCTTTTGAAAACTTCTTCTAAGTGTATTTTTCTCAAAAGTGCTTCTCAAAAAAGTGCTTTTGAAAGAAGCTATTTTTTCTACTTCTCAAAACTGCTTCTGCTTCTTCTCAAAAGCATTTTTTTTCCTTCTAAAAGCTTGGTCAAACACCTCAATTTTTGGCCAAAAAATACTTTTGGCCCAAAAAAATATTTGGCCAAACAGGCTATAAGTGTGCCTGGGAGGACCGACATAACAGTTTCATTCTTGCAAATTTTGAGTTCAAATGCCGTAAAAGACTATCCGATTCTTCTATTCTGCTCGAAAGAAGAGTAAGAAGTCTTCATGGGTTCTACCGCACATATGGGAGGATCTACTGAGGCAGTAGACCACTGAGAAGTTCGAGAAGAAGAGTGAACAAGGAAAGAAGGCTCGAGCATCTGAGAAGGGTGGCTCCTTGCACTGTGTGGGTGCAAGGAGCATGGGGACTGCAAGGAGACTATTGGTAATTCCTTAAAATATTTAATTCTATTTTTATTAAACTATATTTATATATTTTAATTTAGTTAACATGTTTTATTATATTTGTAGGAAAACAATATGGGAGGAAGATGACTCATGATGAGTTTTTCATGGAGACTCACATTCGGAAGAAGAAGGCACCGACAGATCCAACTAGATGGGTCGAGGACCGGACGGAGACTATATATGTAAGTTTCATAACTACTATAACTTGAAATTACTATTTATAATAGTATATAGTTAATACTTTTCTATCTTCTAAATAAAGGATCGCTACAAGATTAATGTGGAGGAGTACACTCCGAGTTTGCCACTGAATGAACAAGGCGAGCGACCACCCGTTTCAGACGAAGAAGCGCAGAAGATATGGTTGGATGTTTTCGGTGGTCCTAAAAAGGGGATAGTATACGGCCTTTCAAAGAGATCATTTCGGCACTACAGGGCTGGATCGCAAGGTATAGGGCCTTTCGCCCAAGGCGAGATAATTGATAGGTCGACTATCTCGTCTATGGAGAAGAAGATTGCAAAGCTGACAGAAGAGCTTGAAGAGACAAGGGCTAGAGAACAAAAGAGAGATAGACAATTTGATACCCTTCAAGTTCAGCTAGAAAAGAGGGACCAACAATTTAATCTCCTTCAAGGTCAGCTGGCTAATCGTCTTGCTAGTGGTGTTTTCCCCATTCCCTGATCTCGTGAGCCTTCTCCAGATGCTAATCCTTCTCGTTGTGATCATTCGAACTATGCCGACAATGAAGCTTCTAGTAGTGAAGATGAAGGTGATGTATTACAAAACACTCATTGAATAGTGTGTATTGCTAAACAAAGTATTGAACTTGTGAATATATAGTTGGAATAGTTTTGAATGATGATTGTATTGTTGATATTATTTTGTTATTGAACATTCGTATTGTTGTTGGTGTGGTTGGCGTTGTTGTTGTGGTTGTTATTAGCGTTGTTGTTGTGGTTGTTGTTGGTTAATTTTTGTTGTTAGTTAGTTAATTATGGTTGAATGGCAGCAATGTAATGCTGCCATTATATGATGGTTATTGGTTGTAATTGGTAGGTGGTGTAGCTTAAAAGCAGGCATATTCTGCCAAGTTTTTACCCAGAAAACCGACCGATTTCGGTTGGAATTCTCATATTAAAACCCAGAAATTCATCTTTTCTGACTGACTTCGGTCGGTATTTTCAATGTGAAATCTGCAAAAAATTGAAATTACCGATCAAAGTCGGTCGAAAATAACATGTTTATTTATTTATTTTTTAATTATTCCGACTGATTTCGGTCTGTCTGTTAAGATTTAAAAAGAAATGCTAAATTATCATATAATTACATTTTTGACCGAAATTAGTCGCTATTTTGAAAAATAAATAAAAAATAATTTAAATAATACCGACCGAGTTCGGTCGGTATATTTATTTTTCCAACAAAAGTTGTCAGTTAAAGTGGTCAACCAAAGGTTGAATTAACCGACCGACTTCGGTCGGAAAATTGCGACCGTCTTCGGTCGCCACACCTTAGCGATCACTGTTGTTACGACGAATTGAAATCAGTCGGAAATTGGGCGGTTTTCCTATATTTTCGACCAATTTCGGTCGATTTTCGTGGACGATTTTTGGCAGTTTTCTAGTAGTGATATCCGAGGCGACATTGATAATCTTCCTGGACCTTAGAGAATACTTGTGAAACAACAAACTGATCATAATATCATTGCCACGGCTGGAATTACTTCCTTTTATTACGTGTAATTTTAAGAACAATCCATTAAATTTTATGAATTAATTTCTATTAACTGCATTTAATTTGCCCCTAATCGTTGTAAAATAATTGTAGCAGATTACGGACGACCACTGAAACTTTACCACGAATTTACCATCTAAAGGAGACCACCATGCTTTAAAACTTGAAAATGTTAAATCAAGGGCGTGAGTCTTATTCTTTATCACCGGAATATGGCAAAATTACCAACTTAATTTACATGCTTGGTAGGAATTATTGCTGAATTGACGTACACCATTATTTTTTGCTTTAGATTATTTTTTTCATACTACACTCTACAGGGGCATAAATATAATTAAATAGATGACATGCCAACGAAAGTTATCTGCACAGATGATTGCAAAAAGACTGCCATAGTTGTACTGAAACTCACAAAATATTACAAATACAATCAGCGACTGTATCAAAACTGAATCCAATACAAGCCGGTAAATAAAAAAATAAAAATAGATCCATCACATGGTTATTTTTATCGTAGTATAAACTTCACTATAATAAATGGGAAATTCAAAAAACTCCTCAATTAGTCCAATTTAAAAAAAAGTAGCTGAAGCAATCGAGGATAGACTGAGCAGAAAACTGGCCAATACGATCGTTGAGGACGAAGGAGAAGGAGGAGCACTACCACCAGGAGTAGAACTTGAAGGTCCAGCAGCAGCTGGTGTAGGTGCACAAGCGCCCGGTTGAGTGGAAGAGGATGGTGAAGGAACGACTGGAGTGGTCGGATTGCTCGGGGTAGGTGGGTTGGCTCCTGCAGGAGTACCGGTGCTAGAAACTGTAATAGCTAATTTCTGGCCATTTTGGCAATGCCGGCCAAAAGTGCAAATGTAGTAGTGATCTCCAGCAGAGTCAAGAGTCACATTCGCTGGTCCTGCCATTATGGGATTGCCTATGGCATTTTGTGAATTGCACCCATCGAATGAAGTTTTTTGTACTTGCAGCACGTCATGCGAGTCGGTCATAAAATTGAAAACTGTAAAAAAGAAGAAAAATACAATCATAAGGTACTGAATTTTTGTATAAGTTGAAGGATATCTATCTCAAAAGGAAACCTGGAACAAGAAATTTAAGTGTACCTAGAGTGTCACCAATTCTGAAGGTTTTTCCAGCAGCCCAATTTGTGTAAGCTGCAGCGCCATTGTTCGGTATGGTCCAACCTATGTTGTTCCCAACCACATGCACCGTTTGGGCTGTTGTGTCTTGCACCAAACTTGCGACGGCTAAAGCACCAAAGACAATCATGCACAGCAATTTGTCCATGTCTTTGCTTTTTTGTGTAAACTTTCTTCTTTCGACAGAAGATTTTTGAAAGAGATCCTATTACAAATGAGGGAGTTACTGATTGCTAGTTTGCTAGAGGAGGATGAGATGCCTAGAACAATTTAGCTCTGTTTATATAAGGGAAAGGATTTTGAATTGGTCTAGGCTCTTAACTTGCATGGTGCTAAGTCTTGAATTTCAATTATAGCAATAGCGGTGGGAAATCAAAGCAGGAATTTAATGCAGAGTGGACAATCGGTACGTTAATGCTTGAAAGAAGAAGCCGAAAAAGAAAAGTAGAACACGAGCTAATTCAACTCCCAAAATAATCAAATGAAGCTAGTCAATGGACACTTGACTTGGAAATCTCCTTTCACGGTACGTGAGACTTCATTAGTTTGCTATACAATTTACGAAGTTGATTTACAAATGTTTAGGTAAGTTCCTTCTCTACGTTGAGACTTACCAACAGAACAAAGGTAAAAATTATTGTAGACAAGAACAAGCACCATCTTGTTTGATTCTCAATAGTACAAACGATGGCGAAAGTGGACCAAGCGAATTCCAAGCAATTAAAGTCCTCCAAATGATGTTCACTAAATCGATTTTTGTAAATATAGCGTGTCTATTCTTTTTGCTAATAGACTGATTTTCTAAATACAGCTTCTAGAATTCTGAGACCTTCTCCTTGTAGCTAGGAAACTTGCTGAAATGCTGGAATTTCATTCTCCAGGTTTAGACATTTAGACTTCTTACTCTTAGTTGTAATTTCTGAATAACTGAATTTTAGGGTCCTCTGATGTGTTTCCCTGCTACGCATGACTTGGATTAATTGGCAGGCTTACTGTTTCTTTCTCCCTTTTTTCTGTCTTAACCGCAGAAGTATAACAAAATAGCAGAGCATTCATCCGCTTAACTAGAAAACTATAGTATTGAACTTCTATTTCTAGTACTTGAAACCAATTTTCATTTGGAGCAACTTTCGTGCTCTTCTTTTCCTCTCCATTTCTTCTCTTTTTTTTTTTTTTTTTTTTTTTTTTTAAATCAAACACTTTCACTCTAATTCAAGACGACCTAATTAAACTAGAGGAACTACTCAAGATGGAACGAACAGATTTTTCGTAAGTTTTCCTAAGTACAATGAATAATAATCTGCAAATAATTCTTAAATAAAGACACAGCATTCTAATGCGCCAGAGGCTCGGTCACCACTGCTGCCTAGTATATAAAATCCTAATGTGCCAGAAATCAAGCACCTAACATTTACGTAGATGGAGTTAGATCTGGAGTGCCGAGTCGAAAAACAAATGAAAAAGCGAAGACGAGAACATTCTTCTTGATCAACTAATATATGAATACCACATTGAACAAGAAGCTGTTCATGGTCACTCCACGTTGTGATTACATACAGATAACAGATGTACTGTTCACAGAAAGATCTGGAAAGCTGATCCCAAAAAGTTCAGTTCCTAAACTGCTAAACATACTATTACAATTATTTGAGCAAATCCCAGTGAGACGGACGAAACTTGCGCTGGGAGAAAGCCTAAGGTATTTTAAATGCTAAACTTAGCAACTAATAGGTGCAGCTGGTTGATGTTGTGGGGTGTGTGCTGGCCCTGGTTGGTTAATCTCGCCATTATCCATCATCAAACTTGTTCTACTCTTTTCTTTCTCTTGTTCCAGCGACCTGTACACTCCAAAGTCCAAGCAGGAACCATTAGCTTTCCCAACTAATGTAGATTCCTCAACATTGCCAGTCTCCCCTCCTGCAACATTTGTTCCTGGTGTGACCTTATCTGGAATATCTTGGTTCACATCACCTGCACAGCCGTCTTTATCAATTTGGATCTTCTCTAGCTTTTCTCCAGAACCATGTTCCTCCTCAACTTCTGGTCCGGCTTCAGCAGCATTTGTTTCTCCAACGGCTGCATCTGCTACCAGTCCCTTGAAATCATCATTGTCCATAGAATCGTTATGGACCTCGGCATCAATGGCAATGGTTTCCTCTGAGCCATTTCCTGCCATTTTATCTCTTCCGTTGTCAACCTCAGTGTCATTGCTGGCCTCCATTTTCTTCTCTGGAGCATCTCTATCAGGCATTTCCTCTTCTTTTTTGTGCTCTGAGACTTCTTTCTTAGCCCCTATCTCGTCCTTCTCCTTGTCCTCCATTTCATATTCTACAACATTTTCCTTTTCTTCTCTGGCAGATTCCATATCTTTCTTGTCCAAGTTTTCCTTATCTACATTTGCTACATCCATTTCCTTATCTTCTTTGATAGTTGAAGATGTTCGACGTCGTTTCTTTGTCGGCTCAACCGCTGCCATAAGGGGCATTGCCTTAACCTTCTCACTGATCCGTGCTGATCTCCTTGGATTCTCACTAGAACTCCAATCAAATTCTGATACACCAGGATTTCCATCGTGCGTTTTCAGGTACTGCGCCAACTGTCTGCGGTTCCTGATCTCCTCTCCAGTTGGAGCAACAAATACAACCTCATTCTTCTTTATTTTACCCCCTTTCTTCGGCATGACCTGCGGAGTAACAGAAAAAGAAACAATGTAAGCCACCCAACTACGCTTGCCTAATTCCCTTGTCCAGGGTACCTACTTTCTCCCAAAGAACCACCTCCCCCCACAAACCCATGGTGCAGACTGCAGCGTAGGGGCAACTATTCTTCAAGAATCGATGGAGCTTTTGCACGCTGATCTCTCAAACAAGAACTAAATGATACAGAACACTAAGCTCATAATGGTGAAACCTTAAGCATAGAAATATAAAATTACTTGATATACCACCAAATAGATGCAGAAAATGAAGGAAATTAATTTCTCCCATCTGTTGGGTATAGGATCTTCCCCTCTCTTTTCAGGGGAAAAAGAGGGGAAGCGTAATAAAACAAATAAAATTATTATTCTTGAATGTGAGGAAAATATTAAGTTGCAACTTACAACACACATCTGCCTCAGTTACACCTACTTTAGAACTAATCCCTAATCCATTGTTCCGGAAAAATTGAAATATGAGGCAGCAACTGACTTATCAACCAAATCAACAGGGATTAACACGCAAATCATCCCATCCAATGATTTGACTTAAGTTCCACTACATTATCAATCTCAGTTCATTGTAAACTCATTGTGTTTAGTGTTCAGAAGATGCCCTGGCTCTAAAAAAATTGACTTGCGGCTACTGCAACAATATAATAATTTTGCCAATTCAAAAGTTCAAGTCTTCAGTAAATTATTTCATTTTCTAGTTGCCTTAATCTCAATAGTGAGTTTACCAACATAGCAAAATAAACGACACTAGAGAAAGTAAGAAAGAAAGAAAGTAATACCAGTTTCTTCCAAGAAGGAGGTGCAGGAAGCTCCAGAGGCAAAACTTCATCCTTCTCTATATTATTACTTGCCATTATTCTCTCCAAAAACTAAACTCTTGTTTCAACCAAAGTTCTGTTTGTGCATATATTCGGGTGAGCTTGCTTTGCTAAATAGTAAAGCAGACCGAACTGTACAAAACCGCCTCAGCACGCAATGGATTGACCAACACGTGCCACTTAGCAAGTTTCCAGGAGCCTTATCACCTCCGTACCCCTAGTCTACCACAAGTACTTTATTAGTGGTTACTATTACTATATTATTTTCAGAATAATAATCTGCAATGTAAAAGTTGCAAGTGTTCAAATTCGACGGATGAGATTCGTCCATTAAAAAAGCTATTCCAAAGTCGGTGGAAAGTATCTATATATCGTGATTTATTAATTATGATCTATCTAGAGATTTGACACGTGGTTTCTATTTGATGATGGGATGACGTGCATTGTGCAAGACTTCGAAAGAGACCTAAATGCTTCTGCTTCACGTCTGTGGATCTCGTGCCACGGCACGGTCTTTTGTCGATAACGTTCCCGAAAAAGCTATTAACTGAATTTAACCATGGGTTTTTGGGTCCGGAATCTCAGTCCTTTCCTCTTTCTTTCTTAGGTAATATCTTTCTAAAGCAGATAAGAAAACAAAATGACTGTTCAACCTTGGAGCTTATTTTTAAAAAACAAAACATATTTATCAGTAAAACATATTTACTGCACATCTACTAGTGTTATAGATTTCATTTTAGACTTGCTGTAATACAGCAAATAGCTTACTTGTTTGCCAAAATGATTACATCTACACTACTAAAATACGTAATGCTTTAGTGGAAAATTTCTTCTTCTTTTTTTCCAAAATCTTTTGGGGTTGGTTTAGTACCCTAATTTTTTAAGTTTTTTAGTTCACGAACTGTCATTATGCCTAAAGGGTCCACATATTGCTACACAGGTCAATATACCTAAAGGGTCCACATATCAGGACAAAATGCTGAATTAACAATTTGTTCTAAAGATTCTTCTCAAGATTTAGCTGAATTGCACACACTTAGAGAATCAGCCCAATACAGCAATATGGAGGTAGCCCAAGTCCATATTGGGCTAATTTTCAAAGAAAGTGGTCCAATCGTAAAGAGCACACGACTGATGGGCCTTAAAGCTATGTTTAGAAACGGACATTTTTTATTTTTAGTCCGCGCCAGAAACTATTTGCATTTAGTAGCCGAAAAAGTATATAAAATTTGTATAATTTTTGGAATTTTTACCTAGCTATACTATATTAGAAACATATTTATCACCTTTATTTAGGTTCCTTATTAATTACTTTGTATATCTGTATTTACAAGTTATATACAAAACCATTAAAAAGAAAAAAATTCAACATCCCTTAATTTTAGCCTGTGTTACAGGACACCCACCCCCCATTTCCAATAACTCCACCTACATTTAAGATTTTGATTCTTTTTTCTCTCTTTCTTAATAATCATGCAAAATCTCTTTTATTCTTATAAGGGAAACTACCAGTTATGTTCATTTATAAGTAGTTCATTACCAAAATTGATCAATTCATAAAATATTACTAATATTAGCCAAATAGCAAAAAAAAAAAAAAAAAAAAATTTGCTTTCTTTTGAGTGAGTATTATTAGAATAGATTGGGTACATCTTAAGGAGCTTGAATCTCAATTTTGGGATGATTTGGTGAAGTTTTGAGGTGATTTGAATTGAAAATTCGAAATAAAAACTAAACATGAAAAAAATGATATGTGTATCACATATGTATCATATTTGTATCAATTGTGTATCACACGTATACCTCTGTGTGAGATACATGCGTGATACATGTTTGATACATGTGTCGCAGAAGCAATTTTTTGAACTCGATTTAATTACGAATTTTGATACAAAACCAGTCCAAATCACCTCTAATCTTCCTCAAATTTTGTATATTTATTTATCTACATGTGTTTCAATGAATTTCAACTATACCCATTGAAAAAGTTCTTTTTTTGCTTAGATTTCTAGAATATTAAAAAAAACAATTATATTTCATCACCTTATTTGCTACCTCATCCATGAAATTTCCTTTCCGTCTTGCATCTAATGTTGCTAATCACGTTTAAAAATATGGAAGGAGATTTTTGCATGTGATTCTTCGAGAGAAAGAACCTTATTTATTTGGTTTTTTAATTTTTATATATGCTTGGCTAGTTTTGGTAAGTCTATGACTAATGGTTAGAGGTTGGTAAGTTGAGACTTATTTGGGACATTTGTGTAAGTTT